CTTGCTCAATATCCTCTAAAGTGTAAGATACATTTCCGAGTCATTATAATCACTTAGAATTTGAAATCCTTTTATTTGATAGAATTCAAATCTCCAGATAACTTTAGAAAGTCACCCCTTAAACTTGAAACCATGTGTGATAACTTACTGTCAATGTGGCCACCCTACCAAAGGTCCTTGGCCAAGTTTCAGTCCAAGCCCTAGAACACGCAAGCCCCAGTAGATTTCCAAGTCACTGACCACACCTCAGAAATACCCAGAGCCCACTAAAGAGGACATATGAACTTGGCAGAAGTAGAGAGAACACTACCTCCTATCAATAATGTATTGTGTGTACACACACACACACACACACACACACACCTGAGTTGTTAATAGAAATGGCCTCTCTTTAGCTAGTTCTCATTGCAGCATTTTTAGTTTTATGTTGCCATACTCTTTTATTTTCAACATTATAAAAAGTGTTTATCTTCCTCAAGTTACGTTCATTTCAAGAAAAAAAAATTTAGCCTAGAATTTCCTAATCATATTCATTCTTTCAGTTGAGAAGGGCTCCACTAAGCAACTATCGAAGCTGAACTATGACCTGAGTAGAAGGAAGGGAAGTCAGAATGGGACTGAGATTGGAGAGACAGTAGAATGGAAAATGTGCTCTGTCCTCTAATATTAACTCAAAGATACTCAAAAATTTAGCAAGGAGGTAAATACTGACTTCAGTCCTTCAACACTCTGAGGAAAATGCACACAAGCCCATGTGTTCAGTGAGTCCCTTGAGTAAAACAGGTTGAGCAAGGGCTTTGGGTTGAGCAGTCTTTCAAATCTATCTCTCCTCATCCCACATCCCTCTCATTCTGCTTAAGACTGCATCCTAATAACTTATTAAGGTCTTCTGAGTAGAGAACAGGAATATGAAGCTTAGGTAAAAGAGAAGAGTAAAGGAATTAAAAAATGGGATATTTAAAATAATCCCAAATTTCAAGTAAACCCAAGCAATGCTCACTTAAGACTGCTGTTGCCTCATAACCGTGATAAATACTTGAGTAATTAGTGTACACAGGGACTCCTGCATACTGGTTCCCCTTGCTTGAGATATTGGTACCGTTGATTATTTGTCCTCACCCTCATGTGAAAACAAAAGCTCTCTATAGAGTTTAATCCCATTTGTTTTCCAATAAAGTGGGTGCAGGTATGTGTGAAGACAAAACTCTTGAATTAATAAATGATTAAGATAGTGACCTATTGTTTCACACTGAGGACAAACAGTAAGGAATGAGAACTAAGGGATAGATAGGTAAGT